CGGGTACCGCGGCGTGACCGCGGGTGGTGCGGAGGTGAGGGGAGCAGAAGGGGTGCCCGGTGTGCCGAGCTGCGTGGTGTAGGTATGAGCACCTAGCTGAGAGGTAGGAGAGCGAAACCCACGTGAAGGTTAATAAAACTTACCTATAAACCACGTTGATTGGACACTTTTCTCTGTCTATTGGAGTGCTGGAGTGCGCCTGAGGGGTGTCAGGCTTTCACATGGTGGGTACGTGGGTTTCGTTCCTCTTGCTGCCCACGGCACTCGGGCTGTTTGGGAAGGCAGGAAGGTCAGTCTTGTTCTCTGTTCGTGCCCCTACTTGCATGTACAAGGAGGCTCCAGGTACCAATCCTGTGATATACTGATGTCATCAGAGACAGCTGTGACATCAGTGCTGACGTAGGGCATCACTGGCTACAGCAGAAGGGAGGAGGCTTCAGAAAGTATTAATAGTGCTTTTGTTAAATGTCATTCTGAATCGCTTCTGTTCATGCCTGTGTGTCACTGTGGCGGCATAAGCTGGTTTCTCAACTTATGGTTAAAAATTTAAGTCAGTCTGGCCGTTTTGCTCCTGAAACATGTTTTGAATGTTATGCTGCCCTGCTGTGTGATTTATTTAAGAAGAAAGCAGGAGTTAAGAAGTAAAAAACGTCATCAACGTGAACTCTCTTCTGTCAGGGCTTGGACACAAGCGCATGTCATCTTTTTCAAAGCGCTGTGTTATTAGAATCCCTACTTGCATTGACTGCAGAGCAACAATTTATGTTGCTTTGTTTTTCTTTTTTAAAGGAGACCACCTTCTGCCAATATCCTATTTTGCTCTTTCCATCCCCCTTTCAGTCTTCTATGGTTGCATGCAGCAGTGCAGGGTCATGCAGCCCATGGAGTGGGGCAAGGGGAAACTCCAGATTCACATTACAGCCACTGCTTTTGGGTTGTTGAGTGTGCTAGATGCTGTTAATACAACTCCAATTCTCTGTGAAGTACTTTATATCCTAGTTTTACAGGGGCATGTCAAAATAGCATCTCTAGAAGTGACCAGAGGGAGGATGTTTCTCAGTTTTGTATTACAGGTAGCAGTTTGTGAGCAGTCATTTCTCCCTTTTGCTTCTATTTCAATCCAAGTTATCTATCTACTGCTCAGTCACACAACTGCAGAGAAAGTAGCGTAGTTTTTAAAGTGTGACCTTGAAATCGGAAGGTTGGGTAGGAAATTTGAAGAAAGATGTAGTACCTCAAAATGTACTTTATCTCCTTAATAAAAACCTAAATGGCCTACATCTCACACTAGTGCCTCTGTATCACAAGATAAATAACAGTGCTAACAAAAAAACCCAACCCAGAAACAAAAAACCCAAACCCAAAAGATATTGCTTTTTATCTTTTTTTAAGGACTATTAAACATGTGGGTGAGTTGCTAAGAACTGATGTAAATACACATTTTTCAATCCAGTGACTTTGGAAGGGACCTTGAAGACCATCTAGTTCCACCCCACCTGTCATGGGCAGACACGTTCCACTAGACCAGGTTGCTCAAAACCCTGTCCAACCTGGCCTTGGTTGTGCCAAGAAACATGGGGGCTTGAGCTGGTTTGGATTGTGTGAAAGGTCAGCTCCAAACTTAGGGTGTAGGTCTCTCAGTTTGTTAGATTGCAGGTGCATTAGCTTGGTGTAATGATTCTTTGGGAATAAATAGTTTACCTGAAAGTCTGGGGTTAGTGGTGTGGTATTTTAAAGGATGGCAAATATAACTTAGAGGTAAATAGATTTGAATTCTGAGCAGATGTTTATTATTCAAGTTGCTGAATTTTTTGGTTTGTTGGGTTTTTTTAACCTGTTCTAGTCCAAGAAAAAAGGTTTGAGCTTTGAGGAGAAGAGAGCTCGCATGATGGAGATCTTCTTTGAAACAGTAAGTAACTTGTAATTGTCTTATATTTATGTTGTTGGGAAAACAGGTCCTGAAAGGAGCTTAGCTGTAGATGTTGATGACCTCTGTATATCCTATATATATGCATTTCACTGATGCCCTGTGTCATCAATGATCAATCACAGGGACAGAGCTTGATTCATGTAGCCTCTGATCAGGTGGTTCATCCCCAGGCAGAGCCAAGGCCTGGAGATGCATAGGTGGTGTCAGATGCTCCCTATCGAAAGCTTCTCATTTTGACTCTGTTTCGTAAGAGGGAGAGCAAGAGATTATGGGAGAAGGAAGAAGAAATTTGAGCTTTAGGAAAGATGAGCAGACCTGGAAGAGGTCACTGGGGAGAAGAAACATGGAGATCCAGAAGCAGAACTACCATTATAATGTGACATATGTAATTCACAATATTTCACCTATTAAAAAGAATACTGTAATATTTGAGTACTTGAGCAATGTGGTGCACCTGGTGCTGACAACATAAGCTGGGCTCTGTCTGCCCTAAGGGGTTTACAGCCTTAACTAGAGACAAGATCTAGGTGACCCTGCTTGAGCAGGAAGGTTGAACTGGATGACTTTTGTTGGTCCCTTTCAGCCTCAACCATTCTGTGACTTTAGAGCACCAAAGAGCAGAACAGGGCTTGTTACACTAACAGTCTTTTTTAATTATGTAATTCTCAGAGTGTTCTAAGTCTATTGAGGGATGTGCAGCCTATTTCCCTAGCAAAACATAAACATGCAATGTATTTCCTACTTGTGTTTTTTGGCATCGATTAGTGTAAAAAAACCCACCCAGGCTTAGGTGATGCTGTCATTTGGAGCTAAAGTGTCTTTTATGTTTTGCGCAGAAAGATGTGTTCCAGTTGAAGGATATAGAGAAGATTGCTCCAAAGGAAAAAGGGATTAGTAAGTGTTTACAAAATTTATTTCTCTTGAGTCATACAGGTCATACAGGGTAAACTTTCCTGGATACAATTTTAGGTTTGTGATTGTAATGATGGGAAAAACGGCTAGAAAGGGAGACTGATTGATGACAGGGCTGATGATGTGAACAGCATGCTCCTACCTCAGTTTACTGATGTTAAATGGGATGGGATTTTTCATAGGATCAGAGATGCCTGACTTGCAGTGTGACTTTCAGTGTATGAAATAGTTATGTGCACTCAGGTAGTGAACAGAGGATTTAAATGTCTGTCTGTAATGTCACAAATATCTTAAAATGCTAGTCCAGATTTACATAGTCCATATAAGCTTTCCCCCCAAAATAAAGGCTGAACAGCTGTAAATGGAAGGGGGCTGTCTTTTCAATGAAAGTCTTCCCGATGAGATCTATTGGTTTAGGATTAGGTCCAGGAGGATTTATCTTACACTGTTGTTAACTTGAGTTGTTTTATGTGTTCCTCATTCCATTTCCTTCCGTGTCCATTGACAAAAGGGTGGCAAAGTATAAGCTTTGTGTAGTTGCCACTGTCCTTGACTAGCATGTCTTTATGGCACTGTAGGAGTAAATGAGCTTCTTGAAAGAACTGCAGACATATGTGAATATTGCAAAGCGACGTTTTTCAGTAATGTCTTCAGCTAACAGGGGCACTCACAGGCTTCTGAAGAGATGTGCTGCGGTCTTGATTGGTTTCTCAATGCATGTGTTTAGTTGTAATTTGCAGGAAGAGGATGCAAAACAGTAAATAAAGCAATGGCATGTCTTATTTAAAAAATCTGGAATGTAGAGTTTCTAAAGCCATCAAGACATTTTAATAGTCCAAATTAATCCTGTCTCTGCATTTGACGCATTTAGCCATGCACCCTGGACCCCAGTTACTCTGAAAAGAACAATGTCTAGCCTGTGGAAATGCCCCCATGCTGGCATCCAGCCTGGGGCTTCCAAAAGATTGGATATTCCTGATCTGGGATCCCCTTTAGACTTGAAGGGCACTGAAAACCATAAAGTAGCTCAAAAGTCTTTATATCTGCAATGCTTGAATATAATAACAACTACTTTGAACAGATACAATATTTTAAATGGTGAGTTATACCACACATTTGCTAGAAAATGAACAATTACGTTCAGAAATGTTTTGGATCCTTCTGACCGCAGATAACTTTCTGTACTGGAGCTGACTATAATCAAAAGAAAGATCTGCCCCTCCTGAGCCTGTAGACAGATGGCTTTGGTGCCTCTGCTGCTGTTAAACGCTTTGATAAGCATTACAGAGTGAAATGTTAATTACACTCCTGATCAAGAAATTGTAAGTTAATCCGTGTTAGAATTAAGATTGCAAGATAACTTCTCAAGTACTCTCTCATGAGTTTGTTATGGTTTGTACTGTAATATGCATGTGTGTCTTATGATCCTCATGAGTGGTGTTTTACAAACATCTGGTAGCAGACTGTACCGAATAGCAGCCTTTATGTATAAACTGCTGATTTGAGATTCATCCCTTCAAGTGAAGCAGCAGGCATGGTGTCCTCTTGAAATCTTCCAGCTAGCTGATGCTATAGTAAAATATTCATACAGAATGTTGTGGACTTACGGTTTTCATAATTTTCTGTAGTTTAGATGCTATGCAGTTCTAATTTGATATTTTTGCTTTTATTAGCCTCAATGTCAGTGAAAGAGATTCTGCAGAGCTTAGTTGATGATGGCATGGTGGACACTGATAGAATTGGAACTTCCAATTATTTCTGGGCTTTTCCAAGTAAAGCTCTTCATGCCAGGAAGCGTAAATTGGGAGAATTGGAGTCTCAGGTAAATCTATTTTAGGGAAAGCACTTGTTTACCTGAATGGGTTTGCTTTTTTCTTGTACCTTCTTGTCAATCTTGTTCATAATATGGTCTCTCATGTATATGTATGTATGTGTGTAGCCCACACAGGTTTTACTGTAAGAATCATCTTGCATACATGGTATGACGTTATCTTGCTTGCTATCATGTCAGAAAACTTTTGGAGGTTGTTCTTGTTGGAGCTTTAGAAGACTTTTAGTCTACTTGCTGCTTTCTGAAAGCATGTTATTTGTGATGCAAAACATCATTTAAGGACTTTCTCTAAATATTTAAGCAGCATATGCTTTTATGCGTCTTTTATATAATGTAGGCTATCATGTGGTAATGACCTAATAGCCATGAGAGGACTGAAATGCATAACCCAAGTAAATGTGGCAGTGTTTTCTTATGGCCAGTGTGCTTTCCTCTCTGGTTTTATCGGTAGCTTAATTTGTGAGCATTTGTCTAATCCCACATTGGACATTTATTAAGAAAGAAGAGCAAATTAGTCATGATCTTCTGCAGAAGTGCCAGGCATCTTTTGTTGCAACATTTCTCTTCTGTTGATCTGATTATTTCCTAGTTTTTAGGAACTGTCTTTCTTGCTTCTTTTAATCGGAGTGGGAAGACATATATTCATCAGTTTTTATTTACAAGTGGAGTACATTATAAGACCAATAAGCTAGCTTTGGTCTGATGGTGCCACGGCACTGCCAACTTTTCCCATGCTTATTTAGCATTATGTCTGTTCCTCAAAGAACCATTTGAATTAATGCAAAGTTATTGGTAGCATCTGAACATGTCTACAGCCATTATTTTCTTCAGGCATAGCTCTGGTATCGTCATTGCCATCTTATGTACTGCACTGGCCACTTCAGCTGCTACTTCAAAGCTCCAAATTAAATGTATAAACCCATGCTTTTTTCCCAAGCTTGAATTGAAAAAGCATTTTGTGAATCTGAAGGCTGTTCACCAAAGCAGATTAAATAGCCTGGTTGATTGCAGCTGATATTGCTTGTTTATGCATAAAGTGTAGTGTGTCCAGCTGAGAGGTAACCTTGTCAGTTATCCCTTGCTATGCTGTCATGGCTTGTAAATCTCTGTCATTATTAAACTAAATGAGTCCAACCCATTGGTCTGTTTTAACCAACATAAGGTTATTTCCCTTTGCTCTGAATGTCTTCATTACTGGCCTGGGTGGTTTAGATGGCTGTCTGAAGGCATTTAGTGTGTCTGCTTGTGTAGATCTAGCAGAGTGGGGAGAGTACTGGTGCTCTTATTGCATGCCCAGTGCGTTTGCTGCAGTTTTCAAGATCAAGAGTAAGACTTGCTAGAGCTTTCACTTTATTTCTCCTTATTCACTAATTCATGTCACTTTTATGAGCCAGTGGTACATTTGGGGGTCTGTGGCAGGAAGAAGGAAGTATTGTAGTGCTTCCCGTCTTTAACTGGAACTATGTGTTGATAAGCTTTTAGACAGGTGCTTCAGATGACTTGGGAAATGCTACTTGAGATAGCTGCTGTGGTCTGTATTTTTGTGTATGGGTCACCAAAATCGTTGACTCTTTAATTTTAGATTCTGCCACTGACTTGCTCTGTGTTTAGAGTAACTTTCTCAGCATCTCAGATGACCTATTAGTATCACAGATACAAACAGTACCTTGTGTGTACTGAGACTTGGTTAATATTAAGTTGTCAGACTGACAGTTTTGTCTGCTGCTTTATTGCCTGTGCTTTCAGAACTCAAATGAGTCCAGGCATTAAAAACTTACTCAATTTAGCTGGATACGCTTGTACTATTTTCAAGCATGGACTTAGTCTGGCATGACAGGGTTTAAATTCATTTGTTGGCTGGTAGTAACAATGCACTGATTCCTACTCCAGTGAAGTTTTGTTTGTCAGAAACAGGAGATCAGTTTAACTCTGCCCAAATTTGGAACTGAGTTTCCTACTAACTTTACTCAACTTATTAGTATATTCACAAAAGTTTTAGATCAGGCCGCTTAGACTTCCAGAACATAAATGCCAATTGAACAGTTGTACAAATACATGCCAGAATTCCTTCTTTGTTCACCAAACGCTGGTGCCACAACAAATCATTTTGTTGAATGCAAATTATTTGCTCCTGGATACTTTTTATTTTTGCTTATGCTCTGTATTAAATCCAAGTAGCAGATTGAAGGAGTTGGTATTTGTTGTCTTTGCCCTTGGGCCCAGGCCTATCGTGAATTTTAAAGATAATTGATCAAGCAGGTCTCTGTCATACCCTGATGAGTACTCTGGAATGTTTTGCAGAATCTGCCTAGTATGCTCTATCATAAGTATCCCGGGGTTATCTACAAACTCCTTTAAATGTACTGTTACATTATTAAACATGAAACTATCAATCATTATAGAAATATAAGCATGTAATTATTGTATTGTAATGTTATTTTATGACTACTTCTGTGTAGGAAATAAACTATGCTGATATAAACCGGTTTGTGATATACAACTGTTCCATAGTTTTGTTGCCAGACTCTTATTTGCAAACCAAGTCCTGCTCCTAACATACACAGTTATTGATATAAGAGCCATGTTATGAGTCCTTAAAAATACTCATATTCATTACCTTGCTTTTCTGATGAGAGTGGACATGTTACAGCATTTCAGGGAAAAACATTTTCAGTAGCTGAAAATGACTTCTCTGTTGACATGGTGGAAAGGTGGCATTTTCAATGAATAGCTCTCTGAACGTGTTTACAAGATAACATTCTGTGTCTGTGAGTTCAAATTTGCTCTTTTAATGCTTGTATGCTTCTTGATGTGAACACATACAGATTTTTCTTAAGGGTTTCTAAATCCAGTCACCACATATCACAAAACTTCTTGTCAGAACATGCAAAGCAGAGGAAAAAAGTAAGCTATTGTATGTTTTCTGTTGCACATTGCCCATCTTTGATCATTCCTGTATGCAGCTTGTGGCAAGGCAAGAGACATGTTTTCTTTCTGTGTCTTGTTACATGAGTTAATCTCTTTCTTTGGCAGTTAAAAAATGGAATCAAGCCACCTTAAAGCACAAGTTTAAAAATCTAGTAGTTCAGTTCATACTGCAATTAAAGCTTTTTACTAGGAAGCAATATCTTTGTTTGCTGAGAGCATGGGTAAGAAGTGAAGGGAAAGGAGTCATCCCAAATGCTGAACTGAGACATTTGAAAGTAACGTGGAGGAACAGAAGCAGCTTCTCAAAAACACAAGTTCTCCTATTAATTCATAGTGCTGAGGCTCATGTTGGACAAGTTGGGACTTGTACAGGACCTTTGCCTACATACATTGGTACTTTGTATCATTTTAGTGAAGTTGCTCTTAGCTCTCTGCATCTTACAGAGTTTGTGATCATGGGGAGGCTGGCTTAGGAACTGTTCTTGAAACAAATCAGCATTGCCACAGTGTAGTCTAATATTTTAACAGATAGGGACCTGAAATACCAAGTTCTTCAAAGATTCTGCAGTTGTTAGTGGAACTATTGAGAGTCCTGCAAGCACTGTAATTCAGTACCTTGGGGAAACAACCAGTTTACTTCCTTTTACCAGTTTGGTTTTGTGACATTTCATTTCATTGTTCTGTTCAATACTGTTCATTTCACTGTTTTATTATTAATTGTCACACCTTATTTCTCATGACATTGCTTTCTCGTGGGTTATTCTTTTGTATTCTTAGGATTTGCAAGGGGAAGTTTAACAGAGAACAGTAGCAAAGCTGCTGTTCCTTCTGAAACTGAGAGCAGGATGGTGACATGTTGTATTGCAAGAAAGATTAAACTGAATTTTTTAAGAGCAGGATACAGGATAGACTTCTTATGGTGTTCCCTGTGCTCATTTCAAGTTACACGTGCGGACAATTTCTGGCAATTTTTTTCCTTCACTAAGCATTGCATTGGGCCAGTGTTAGTTAAGATGGAAGGGATTAGTTGATGTTTCATTCCTTAAATCCCTGTCCTAGAGTTGGTAAGAGGAGGGATTTTCACTTCCCATGACTCATGTATTGAGCCAAGGGAAGAATTTAGAAGTCAGTACATCCTAATTCTCATTTGGCAGCTAGTTTAAAAAAAAATAAAATTAAATCCCCAAATAAAAATCCCCAAGTCCCAGGAATGAACTTGTCGAAATAGAGTGACTTCACGTAAACCAAATTGTTTGTACTTATGAGCATTGAAATATGAAAAGAGAAAGGATTAATTTTATTAAATATAATAATAATAAAAAAAAGACTCGGGGAATGCTATGTTAGGAAATGCTTTGTTAGGAATGCGCATTGTTTGAAAATAGCTAATGGAAAAAACCAGTCATATTGGTAAGTAATCTGGCTTGAAGCCTCCTGGAGATGTTTGACAACATACCTAAAGGGATTTGTTCAGAATGCACACAGAAAATTCTGAGTTTTAATGATCAGAAAGTTCTTTCGAGATGTGGCTTGGATTATTTATGTCCTTTTAGGCAGTTACGGTTTTCCTCCTCAAATACTGTGACTGAATTACTGCATGGAAAATTGCTGAGTAGAGCACCGCTTGAAACCACTGACTGAAGCACAAGGAACTTCTGCTGTCCACATTGTTTCACTCTGAACAGCCCCTTCCTTGATCCAGTTGGCTCACTCAATTGTCATTGTATTCCCACAGAGTTTGGAGATTGCATCTGTACTGCAAGTAGGTACAAGTGCTCAGAGCTTAAAGTAATCAACCCTGAACAGAGGTACAAATCCATGGAGATGATAGATGTTCAGTAAGGGGTAGCAGGCCTGGTGGTGCTTGGAGTTGGGTGATGTTGCTGAAGATGCCAGACAAGATGTGTACCTTGGCTGATGGTTTCAATCAGCCAGGGAGTGCCTGTGGGACCTAGTGCTCTGAAGCAAGCCTTTTGCATTGCTTTGTAGGAGTGTCCTCCATAGATGGTGTATCAGCCTTTAACTGAGCTCCTTACACACCTCAGATCTCTATTTCAGTTTTC